TCACAGCTGTGAAAGTAGAAACAACACTATCAGTGACCTACCTCCTGATAAGTTGGCTGTGTGTCCCGGACCAGTGCCCCACTGTCATCTATCAATTTCAGATTTCCGGGCATTATTATTAGTTCACAGCTTGGAATAGATCTGATCTTTTGTCATTCAGTAGAAAAGTTTTTTTCTGCAAATAACAATTGCATAAGAAAGTGAACATTTTGATATAAAGGTAAAAGCTAAGCCATCATGATCATAATGTTGAATGTTATTTTTTTGCAAGTTCACCAAGACTTGTTAAGGAGGCTCCACCCTTTGGCAGTTAACCAGCAGAATTCAATGAAAGTTTTACATAATGGTTATGTCACTATGTAGAGATGATTTTATGAAAACTAAGCATTCCGATAAACTGGAGATCTTTTTGTAAAAAATACTGAATTATTGATTTTTTGTCAAATCTAACACTTTCACATTTTTTGAGTGTGTGGCATTGTTCAAAACTATTACAACAATGAAATAATGAAAAGAAGCATTGCTAATCAACCCTACAAATATTTTATTTATCATAAAATATCTACAACATGTTACACAAAACGTTTTTTATTGAAATTGTATGGATAAAAGTTACTATATACAAGCTAAAAGAAAACAGGGCACATAGTTTCAGACAAAAAGAGTGAAAAATTGAACCAGATACACACAAAGTCTTTATAATTCTTTATTTTACTTTTTACAATAATTTTGATCCTGATGAGAGTTGTCTACCTTGAAAAAAATCGGAACTTTTTGCAGAGGGATAGAATTTAAACAATAACAGCTATTTTCTTTACTATACCAAAAACGATGGAAATAAATTAAATTACTATATTAAATTGTCAATTTACTGTTCTTTTATGGAACAAAATGACTTTCAAACATGTACACTTTGGACATTGATTCCATAATGGCTTACGCATGTCAGGTACATATGTAATCATATATGGCTATCGCATGGTATGCCGTTATCACGTGCACGCACATGCACTTGCATTTTATAGGGATCTTGATATTTTACAAACCACTATTTTCACTGAGTTATTGTAATTGCATTTGTGAAATGATTTATCTGACAGCGTAACTAGCTCGACAACAAAAGTCAAAGCGACCAAGAGCTTGTGAACTACTGTTAGCACTTGATACGTACAGGTGAGGTCGGTAAACAAAACACATTAGTCTGCATTCCATGCGCCTCATACGACCTTCTTGAAGTCATCTGATCTTATGTCAGTGTCTTCCCATAAGCTTTATTTCTGAAGTACGTGTGATTACACATTTCCAAGTGAAGTCTCAATATCGGGTGTTGACATATCATCGTCACGCACGTGTACTATTGTTTACCCGGTGTTACTATAATTTACAGTACGGTAATGGAATGCCTGATACCCAATACTGAAATGACGACATGAAAATACAACAAGAAAAACATGTGTATTACGAAGGGTTGGAAGTCCTTATTAATGATCAACAAACCCTTTAAAAGATTGTATGATCACTAAAAAATGTTATGTAGTAATAAGTCAAAATTAATTACCCGAATTTATATTGGGGACGGGAATAGAGATGTGTTAATAAAATGTATTAACCTACGATGACCATACCATTTTTAAGTTGACTTTCTAAACCGTAAACTTCATTAAATCACGGAGTTAGATTATCTAAGTCCGTGATCAAATCCAAGACAATTTGAATAAAATCAACTGAAATTTTGTTACATTCGTCGTTGGAAAGTAATTACTTTATCACACAAGTGAGTTTTATACCAGGTTGAGTGATAATGATGTTATAAGTTTCGTTTATAAATGGAAATCAATACAGGAAGTACAGTGTAATTATGGCATACACTTCATTCATCCCCAAAGCCAAGTAGCAAGCATGAAATATGCCGATAGCATGAGTGAAACAATCCGTCAGTCACTATTTTGGTAGCACATTATATAGTATTAATGTAATAAATAACCTAATATAACCTCAGATTTGTCCATCATCTGCAACCAAATAACCATTATCCGGCCGCCCCCAACAAATTACAAGAATTTGAAACGAAACCGAAAGTAGGAAAATCCAGAGTAAGCGATGGGAGGTAACTTTAAATCTGATTACGAACGCCCTTACGGAAAGACCCGAAGTGTTTTTCCGTTCCGTGTCGATTCGTAACATTGCTCTTTGACGATATCGGAACAACCGGTTCGTCTGTTTTTAACTGTAACATTGTTTGGTATACATCCTGGCGGACCAGTATCAAACAGCTGAGCTGCCCTCACTGGAATCGGGGCTGACTGGGACCGTCGCTGACCAATGTGGCGTTTTCATACACTTGTTTTAGCAAAAATCTGCAATGATTTGCATCAATATATGACTAATGTTTAGCATGGGAAAGTATCAGCATCAAATTATCAAAACAAAGGGATTTTGATCATTGTTTTTAATACAAAAAGTGTAGCACTCATAATGCTTAGTTGCATTGGAATATAACAGTTACCTCCCTTTGATCATGTAGATCTATGTAAAATGAACAACGAAATACTAAGTATATATATATATACATCTAATAACATACACGGTCCTGTTGTTATTCTTCACATCAGTAAAGTTAACAATGAATACGGTCAAACGATGTGTCATAATGACTTTTAAATGGAAACATTTGAACTATGATGAACGACGAGATACAAAATATTTACATCTTTTAGTCTAACATACACGGTACTGAGCGGGGACATCATGATCAGGAAATATAATGATAAATATATCCGTTGTTATTCTTCACATTAGTAAAGTTAGCAATGTATACGGTCAAAATATGTATCATAATGACTTATAAATGGAAACCTTTGAACATGAATGACGAAATACTTAATACATACATCTTTTAACATACACGGTCCTGAGCGGGGACATCCTGATCGGGAAATATAAGGATAGATATATCCATTGTTATTCTTCACATTAGTAAATTGAACATTGAATACAGTTAAAAGATGTGTCCTTATAAAATTAAGATGCAAAATAGGTAACATGAATGAAGGAATACTATATACATGCATCTTTTAACATACACAGTCCTAAGCGGGGACAACCTGATCAGGAAATATAATGTTAAATTTATCCGTTGTTATTCATCACATTAGTAAATATAGTACTGAACATGAACAAAAGATGCATCGTAATGTGGTTTAAATGTATATATTAATTACATTCAGGATGAAAAACATTATTATACATCTTATAGCATACACGAACAAAAGAAAAACATGAACATGAACAAAAGATGCATCGTAATGTGGTTTAAATGTATATATTAATTACATTCAGGATGAAAAACATTATTATACATCTTATAGCATACACGGTCCTGAGCGGGGACATCCTGATAAGGAAATCAAAGGATAAATATATCTGTTGTTATTCATCACATAAGTAAATTTAGAAATGTATACAGTCAAACGAGGTGTCCTTATGATTTTTAGATGCATAATAGGTAACATGAACGACGAAATTCTATATTCATACATTGTCCATCCTGATCAGGAAATCAAATGGTAAATAGATATGTTGTTACTCATCACATCCGTAAAGCTAGCCATAAACACAGTTAAAAAATGTCCTAATGACTTTTCCTGATCAAGAAATGTAATTGTTAATATATTCGTTGTTATTCATCACATAAGTAAATTTAGTAATTAATACGGTCAAACGAGGTGTCCTTATGGATTTTAAATGCATAATAGGTATTTATGAACGACGAAATACTATATATATATATATACATCAAATAATATATACGGTCCTGAGCGGGGACATGCTGATCAGAAAATCGAAATAGAATTATTTTCGAAATTATTAAAAAAAACTACTCGAAGTTAGCAATGCAAACACCTAACTGAGCTGTCCTCATATTTTCGAATGTAAACCCATTTGACTTTATTTCAACGATTAAAATAATTATCATACATCTTATAACGTTCACGGTACTGAGCAGGGATAACCTGATCGGGAAATAAAATGTTAAATTTATCCGTTTTTATTGATCACATAAGTAAAGTTGGCTATGAATACGGTTAAAAGATGTGTCCTAGTGATTTTTAAATGGAAAATAGGTTACGTGAACGATGAAAATGGGCAGATTGGTCGAGTGGTTAACACTCCCTCCTTCCAAGCAGGCGGCCGGGATTCGATCCCCGAAGTCGCCGTACGCATGGAATATTAGAGAAAGTGTTTTTCTCCTGCCCACACAACTCCAACAACACAGATGGAGTATAAAATGGTCTGGGGTGGGTGTTGCGGTAGCATTCAAGTGAGGTGGCACAATAAATGATACCGTTGGAAGCACGGTCCCAGTACAAACAGAACACAATACATCTCCAGCATACACACAGGCATACACATATAGGGAGATATTAGCCCGGTGGCATAGGACTAGTAGTTAGCGCCTGATAGGGTTGTATTGATTAATATAATATATATTAGATATCTTATATAGTATATGAGATATCTTATATAATATATAAGATATCTTATATACTATATGAGATATCTTATATAGAAATTAAATGAGATGCTATATAAGATATCATATATGATATATATGATATATAAGATATCTTACATCGTATATAAGATATCTCATTTAATTTTCTATGTAAGATATCTCATATAATATATAAGATATCTCATATAGCTATATAAGATATCTTTTATAATTGAAATCTCGTTGCTATATAAGATATCTGATATAGAATGAGATTTCGTGGCATTAAAAACCAGAAACGAATTTCTCCCTCGAGAATCATTCGGAGCACATTCAGGATTGCATTGGGCGCAATGGCGGAGAGGGATGGTACGGATGCTGTATTTTCCCTAGGCCTAGCTCGCCTTGTCTCTCTTATAGCGGCCAAAGCAGAGGCTGCCATTTCCCGCACTCTTGAAGTGGGCTCAGACATAATTGGCGGCGACAGGAACACGTGTTGTTACAAGCCTACTGTCCCTACGTAGATCCTCGAGATATTCCGGACGGTAAGACTTCATTTTCGACATTTTGTTAAAATCTCGTTCCTATATAAGATATCTTATTTAGTAACGAGACTTTAATTATATAAGATATCTTATATAGCTATATGAGATATCTTATATATTATATAAGATATCTTATATAGAAAATTAAATGAGATATCTTATATACGATATAAGATATCTTATATAGTATATAAGATATCTCATATGCTATATAAGATATCTTCGCAAGAATAGGTCCTCTACATCAGCGTTCCTTGTCCGCGATGCGCTCAGCTTAATTGCTGCCTTCGGCTGTCTTTAGTCGAGGGGACTATTTTTTTATTTTTTTTATATAATAGCTATATTTTCAATTATAGTATATCAGTTCTATATTCTTGTAATATGATGTATATGTACATGTAACTGTTCAGTTTCACTGTGTCTTGATAAAGGAGCGGATCGCTCTGAAAATTTGTCAACCTAAACTTGTCCACACTGTTGGAATTACTTCTTTGCCCTATATATTTTTTTAAGTAATTCGTATCCTACGGACATACCTCCATTAGGATCCAGTGTTATATGGGATGTTATCGTCTATATTACTTCTTTGACCCATATATCTAAACATCGATATAGGAGCTACCGTCATCTTATGTTCTGAGAAATGTTGATGATATAAAAAGGGTTTGGGGGACACAAGGGCAAACAATATGAAATTAATCTGTTCATATTGGCTCCGACATTTTAAATATCTAGTTAATTCAGATTCATCAGGAAAGAGATATGACGCAACAGATATCTTCGGGTAATCCCAACAATCGACACATTTTTGTCGGAGAGAAAAAGGAGAAAATAGAGCAGTCTTTCGCATTTGAAATACATTTGAATTTTTTGCGATGCTTTCCAATAATAAAGTGAATGAATCAACCAAAAAATGTTGTCTGTAAATTAAATTAAAACACTCAAATATGTATCTAAAACGCCACCAGATGGCATGATAGTGCTTCTAGATCTAAATAAAAATCCGGGGGGCATGCCCCCGTACCCCCCTAGAATGGCTTCGCGCCTTCGGCGCTCGCATTTGCACCTACAAAACAACCCAGCTTACGTTTACGCGCCTATCAGACGGAAGGTCGCCTAGTTTATTTGGAGCGGCCGTTAAAAGGAAGGGCTCAATGCCGAACTATGTAAAGGAGGGAAGGACCACAGGTGACTGCACAATTGTTGTTATGCGTTTCTAATGCAGCTACGACACTTTTCTCGAAGACTTTCTGTCAATAAGTAATATCTTCTTTTGCCGAGTTTTAACAAACTCGGCGCTAAAAATTATTTGCCAATAACTGAAAGGGAACTTCTCTGACATTTATTTTCAGATTTGCCGCGTCAATGTTTGTCTTCCCTGAAAAGATGTTTATAAGTAAGTATATATACTGATGGCTTAATTAAACGTGTATCTACTAATTCCACATCAATATTAGAATGTTCATATTTACGTATTACCTGTAATTGCGTTTTCTGTAAAGACCGAGTGATGATAGGTTAGCATACTGAAGCTCCCACCTGTTATGACCGCGTTACAACTTGCAATTGATATTTTTGTAATTCTCTCAAAATGCACATTGTCAACAAATTCAAAACCAATTTCATTAAGTTTGGTGATGTGCGGAATGTATAACATATCGATTACCATAATAAAGAGAACTCATTTCTTTTTTGAATGTCCAGTTTATACACACCAGAGGTTTGAATTGTTTCAAAATCTAAATTTTGTTAATGAAATCTCCTTAGATATATTGTTATCTGGTATTCCAGATCTGTCTTCTCAACAAAATAAAGATATTTTTCGTAACGTGCAAAAATTCATAAAGACCAGCGGTAGGTTTTTATTCGTAAGGCATTTTTATATTTCTATACTCAATTTGTGAGACTGTTCAATGTTGTTCTTTCTCTTTTTGTTTCTGTTGTTGTAATGCTACTATTATGCATACTATTTGATACCCAGTTGCGCCATTTTTGTAAATTTGATGTATATATTTGAGGAAAGGGCGTAACTAATGTTGTAATAACTTGTACCCAATCCTGTTGTCACTATTTTGGCAATAAAATATGTTTAAACAAGAGAACTTAGAGAGTTTTACTGAATTTAATTAAGCGATGTTTTTTCTTCTGATCTCTGTTTTGGAATCGCATGCGAAATTCTGAATTTATTAAGATAGAAAAAAAGAAGTTGAAATTTAATATTTTTAATCGAAGTGTTAATTTGAAGTGATTACATGTAGTACAATGCATGCGTACGCAGGTTTAACTGGTCACGACAAACAAATTCAATAAAACTGCTTTCGTGATTTTAAACCAACGATTTGAGAAAATTCGCTGTATTTAGTTTGTATATATGTAATCTAACTTATAAGGTGAGAATAATAATAACAAAGACGTAATTTTTTTTATTTAGATGGAGACAGGTCATGCATCTGAATTGCATGGGTAACTTCATATACATGTTGGCCTACAGCTGTACATGATCAGCCCGCAGACAGTAGGCCTATGACCACTGATATATGGAAGACCAATAAATACAAGAAATAACTGTTTCGCTTATAATAAGTAGGAAAATGTCACGAACGGCTATCACTCCGTTGTCATTTCTATTCTACCACGGAATTAAGTGTTGAGGACCTCAACATTACTGAATATATCTTTCGCTTAGTTGTGTGAGTTGTGTCATATTTGGGCGAAGTTATTCAAAATTAGGTGGTTAGCCGGCTTTTTCAACCTTTAATAATTTTTACAATAGCTAATTACCTTTTGAACAACTGGACCCTGTCTTGTTGCAAAATAATTCCCTTTCTTCTATTGAAACAGCATGCAGTATCATAATAAAACACATGTTCATGTATAAATGGTAACTTTCTAATCGATTAGGTTTTATAACATTAAAGATAGATACCGCTTCCTGATGTTCCGGACCGTCTACGATTTTAAATGTATAGCTACATAGATATTATTTCTACCTCCATTGACAAGAGAGCGCCCTAAGAGTGATATTCCGTAAATGATTGCACAAACAAACATCTGCGTATGCTACTGATCACTCAAGTTCCCAAGAGTCTCATTGCACTTCGGAGCTCGTTAAAACTACAAAGGTAATGCCGATTCTAAAGAGCTGGGTTAGTATTTTACTGAGTTGTGCCTGTAAGCTCGATTCGGGAAAACTGAGTCTGCAGGTGGTTTCGATGACACAGTCGTACGGACATATATCGTTTAGTCATAGGTTTCCGAGCGTTATATATTTTCGCTCAGCCATTTTATCAAGCTATATCTCGTTACTACGTGACCTGCTGGACACTACACAAGGATATTTAAGACGTTTGGCCATCGTCTGTAAACTGACACAAGAAATACCGGAAGTTCGTCCGGAAAACATAAGTATTAATCACTGATTAAAAAACACGCATAAATATGCAGTTTTGCTTGCTACACTTTTTAGCTTGCACAAAATGAACCCATGCCTGAAAACACGTGATATATTTCATTCATGAACCGGTCTTTTTTGTAGTCTGACAAACGTACGAAAATGTCGTATGTTATGTAAATGAGGCCACATCTCCTCGCCAATTTTTTTCCACTTCCGAAGAGCAAAGGAGACATTCTTATATCGATAAACCCTGTAATGCAATGAACTTACCATCAACTAAAACCGATATAAGACTGCACAACAAAAATAATAACAGATTCTATAAATATATATCTATAATTAATTAAATAAATTTATAAAATTACACAAATTCGTTCAAGTTGACATATATTGAAAAATCAATAACAAAGTACTATTATTTAAAATCTGTTTTGATAATTAATTTGATGATCAAAGATGAAAAAAAACCACCAAAAAACCAAAGCTTTTGCTTGTTCGGGCGACTATGGAGATTTTATTTTTAGTGTAAATTCAAGTTATCTTTCTCTGAATACTAAATCAAAATAGAAACACGGAAACATATTACAGCTACTTCTGATGGGAAAAAATTGTTAAAAATTGTTTGTTTTTTGTTTCCATTTGTAGATTGTGTACATGTCTTAGACAGTCATCCATAATTTCAACAGTTTTCTACAGATATGAGTAATTCTTCTTAAGTGCACGTAAACCAATTACACGAGGAATCATGACGCAGTGCACAACGGGTTTGTCTGTTTCTTCAAGGGAATATTTCAGGGATAAAACAAGAGATACCTGCAAATATTAATGCTGGCATTGAAAGTCTCTGCCAAAGCTCTAGATCTCCAGAGAACAACATCAAATCAATAGGTCCGAATGAACCTTTTTCATTAAGGAACAAATGTTGCCTAACTGGTCAAAACGTTTGGTACGAAATTAACGAAACTTGCTCAGTACTGCAGGTGTTAGAATGATGGATCATGGAACACCAACAACATGTTAATTATATGGTTTTAATATATATGTTTATAATATGGCATGTGGTGCCAGTATGTTGTATATAACCTCCCATTGAACAGGTTATCGACAACTCCTCATATAGATATATACCTGGTAATAATACTGAACTTGGGTAACAAACATTATATGCAGTAACAATTTTATTGAAGAATAAAAGTGAAATAAAACATGAAAAAAAGCAAAAAACATCATCCTACATGTGTACACATTTGAACACTAAACCCGTTTTTTCCCATTTAGCCTAGTCTACACCAAACTATCAAGCAATGGTATAGTGATACCATTGCTTTACCAAAAAAAGTCATTTTTGCACAAATCTACCTCATTTTAATGTACTCCACAGTACCACCAAGTTTGTGCATGAAGTAAAATAGCTTTGAAGAATTACTTTTACATGGTAATGATCTAAACAGTCGAAACCATTTAAGTCGGGGGACAATCCTGGAATTTGAGAGCAGTGGGCCATTTCAGCCAATATCAATTATGTATATAAATACCTGCCTTGTAATTTACAGTATATAAAGCATCACTAGTTCTTTATTACAATCATATAGAGTGTAAGTCGGATAACAGCTGAAATATATACCGGTATTGACAATGAAATACTTTGATCAATGGTACATCAGTTTAAAACTCCCATGTGACTGCCACTGTTTAAATTCTAAAGATATATGTATGTGCAAGCAATTAAGGCCGCAGCTGATTTCAATAACTGTAATGTAAGGATGAAGGTTTTAAGAGGATTTTATTTGTCTTTCATTGCTGAATGCCTGATATTTAACACTTTTTCCCTATTTGTTAAATTTATTGATATAAAACAAACTTTCAGTTTTTACAGGTGTTTGTCCAGTATGGCGAGCAAGCATGTGAAGACGTCCATCCATCATGACGAAATCACAAAATCACCTCAGGATAGGCGACAGTATCGTGGTCTTGAACTGAACAATGGTCTCAAGGTGATGGTTATCAGCGATCCAGACACGGACAAGTCTGCAGCTGCTATGGACATCAATATAGGTAAGGGACTAGTGATAAGGGACTTGTGGTAAGGTAGCTAATGGTAAGGGACTAGTGGTAAGGAACTAGTGGTAAGGTAGCTAGTGGTTAGGGACCAGTGGTAAGAGACTAGTGGTAAGGGGCTAGTGGTAAGGGACTAGTGGTAAGGGACTAGTGGTAAAGGTATAGTGGTAAGGGACTAGTGGTAAGAGACCAGTGGTAAGGTAGCTAGTGGTAAGGAACTAGTGGTGAGGAAATAGTGGTAAGGGACTAGTGGTAAGGGACTAGTGGTGGGGAGATAGTGGTAAGGGACTAGTGGTGAGGAAATAGTGGTACGGGACTAGTGGCAAGGGAGCTAGTGGTAAGGGAGCTAGTGATAAAGGAGCTAGTGGTAAGGGCCTAGTGGTAAGAGACTAGTGGTAAGGGACTAGTGGTAAGGGACTAGTGGTGGGGAAATAGTGGTAAGGGGCTAGTGGTGAGGAAATAGTGGTAAGGGACTAGTGGTAAGGGACTAGTGGTAAGGGACTAGGGGTAAGGGACTAGTGGTGGGGAAATAGTGGCAAGGGACTAGTGGCAAGGGAGCTAGTGGTAAGGGAGCTAGTGGCAAGGGAGCTAGTGGTAAAGGAGCTAGTGGTAAGGGAGTAGTGTTGAGGAAATAGTGGTAAGGGACTGGTGGTAAGGGACTAGTGGTAAGGGACTAGTGGTAAGGGACTAGGGGTAAGGGACTAGTGGTGGGGAAATAGTGGTAAGGGACTAGTGGAGAGGAAATAGTGGTAAGGGACTAGTGGTAAGGGACTAGTGGTAAGGGACTAGTGGTGGGGAAATGGTGGTAAGGGACTAGTGGTGAGGAAATAGTGGTACGGGACTAGTGGCAAGGGAGCTAGTGGTAAGGGAGCTAGTGGCAAGGGAGCTAGTGGTAAAGGAGCTAGTGGTAAGGGACTAGTGGTAAAGGAGCTAGTGGTAAGGGAGTAGTGTTGAGGAAATAGTGGTAAGGGACTGGTGGTAAGGGACTAGTGGTAAGGGACTAGTGGTGGGGAAATAGTGGCAAGGGACTAGTGGCAAGGGAGCTAGTGGTAAGGGAGCTAGTGGCAAGGGAGCTAGTGGTAAAGGAGCTAGTGGTAAGGGACTAGTGTTGAGGAAATAGTGGTAAGGGACTAGTGGTAAGGGACTAGGGGTAAGGGACTAGTGGTGGGGAAATAGTGGCAAGGGACTAGTGGCAAGGGAGCTAGTGGTAAGGGAGCTAGTGGCAAGGGAGCTAGTGGTAAAGGAGCTAGTGGTAAGGGAGTAGTGTTGAGGAAATAGTGGTAAGGGACTAGTGGTAAGGGACTAGTGGAGGGGAAATAGTGGTAAGGGACTAGTGGTGAGGAAATGGTGGTAAGGGACTAGTGGCAAGGGAGCTAGTGGTAAGGGAGCTAGTGGCAAGGGAGCTAGTGGTAAAGGAGCTAGTGGTAAGGGACTAGTGGTAAAGGAGCTAGTGGTAAGGGAGTAGTGTTGAGGAAATAGTGGTAAGGGACTGGTGGTAAGGGACTAGTGGTAAGGGACTAGGGGTAAGGGACTAGTGGTGGGGAAATAGTGGCAAGGGACTAGTGGCAAGGGAGCTAGTGGTAAGGGAGCTAGTGATAAAGGAGCTAGTGGTAAGGGACTAGTGGTAAAGGAGCTAGTGGTAAGGGACTAGTGTTGAGGAAATAGTGGTAAGGGACTGGTGGTAAGGGACTAGTGGTAAGGGACTAGTGGAGGGGAAATAGTGGTAAGGGACTAGTGGTGAGGGAATAGTGGTAAGGGACTAGTGGCAAGGGAGCTAGTGGTAAGGGACCAGTGGTAAGGGACCAGTGGTAAGGTGATTGTTATGGACAATGATATGGGTAGGTATATATATAAGATATTAATGTTAAGGTGTTTCATGGTTTTCAGCAGTCCTGTTTCTGCTGATAAAGTGGTAAATGCCCCATCTCTGTTTTCTTTTAAGACCAGATTAAACAAACACTGGGGAAATCACCCCAACAAGTTTGAACCAAGTTTCTACTAATTAGCTGGTGAAATTCATAAAGGCTAATTCCCTTATACCAATTAAATATAACATTTTTTAAACCCATGGAACCTTTTGATATCTATACCTTCAAGTGTAGTTAAATTGCCAGGTCTGAAATTAATTAATCACAATGTGTGCATATACATCTGAATATCCCTATTTTAAATGAAATTAGGAAGCAACTCTTTTACCACCTATTGCACATGTACATACATTTCACTAGTATCAGGTAAGACATGATGTACATGTCTACTCAACCAGAAGTGGAATGGATTGCATTCAGAAGCACCTTACAACGGTGTCAACTACAATGAACCAATACCTTAAATTACTCCTTATGATAGCAATAGTTTTGCATGCTTGGGACACTGAAGGAAGGTTAACACTGTTATGTAGTATTTAGATGGTACCAATATTTACCTGTATCATCTCTGTAGCCATGTCGACATGTTGTATAATTAGAATAGCTGATTAAGGTATACATAGTTGAAGTAATATAGAAGTATTTCATGTACTCTACCATTATAAACAACCTAGATATTTTACAAGGTAAAGTGATGCTGATCTATATTTCTCTGTTGTGACAGGTTCTATGTCAGATCCCTGGGAACTTCCTGGTCTGGCACATTTCTGTGAACATATGCTTTTCTTGGGAACCAAAAAGGTAGGTATTTTGTTTTTGTGTGCTGCAGTCTAATTTACCGAACTGAACTTCTATGACTTTTGAGAGTGTTGAGAAAAAGAACCAAGTTCACACAAGTTTCTTACAATTTTTTCACAAAGCTCATTTAAATATAAGTTAGTTGCACTGTTTGACCTTTTTTGCATTTTTTAAAAGTTAAGATAAATAAATTCTGTGTCTATTCTCTTTGTTAAATTAGTTATACAAGGTCTGCACCCCAGGCACATTGTACCTTTAGCCTCTTGAACAACATATTTATATATCTTCAAACATTTTCGTTTTTTCAGTATGAACAAGAAAATGAATATAACAAGGTAAGCTACTTTAATTTTGTTTGTGTGTGGAGTAGAACCCTATCATTTTGGACTCTAAAGTCTGTGTGTAGAGTAAAACCTTGTTAGTATGAATACTCTGTGTGGAAACTGGACCTTTGTAAGCCTGGAAGATTCCTGGTAACTAGTTGTTTAAAAAAATGAAATTTCATACTTCTTTATAGTAGGAGTAGATTTGTCTTTGCTTCACATGGGGAATGTATTATTGTGATATAGATTTAAGGTTTGTATCAACCCTCGGTGTTGAAAACAACTTGCTGTAGAAGAAGTTCTTTTTTATTTCAGCAGACAGCAATAATTGTTTCATAGTACATGTATATGTATGTAAAACACAAATGAACAACACAAACTGTTATATTGACATTTCATTCCTGTGGTCTTTATCATACTAACATTAATGTTTCATCCCTTTGAATTTAAGCTGTCTTTGTTTCACTAGCATATATGCATTATCTAGAAATTTTCATGAGCTGTATTATTCCAAATATGATGTCATTTATCTTAATATTGAATGAAATATTTCAGTTCTTGAATGAGAACGGTGGCAGCTCTAACGCATATACCTCAGGGGAGCACACAAACTTCTACTTTGATGTGGCACCCGATAACTTAGCAGGGGCCATGGACAGGTGAGTTTAGGTGTGGTTATTTAGCAGGGGCCATGGTCAGATGAGTGGTAGTGTGGTTACTTAACAGGGGCCATGGACAGATGAGTGGTGGTGTGGTTACTTAACAGGGGCCATGGACAGATGAGTGGTGGTGTGGTTACTTAACAGGGGCCATGGACAGGTGAGTGGTAGTGTGGTTACTTAGCAGGGGCCATGGACAGATGAGTGGTAGTGTGGTTACTTAGCAGGGGCCATGGACAGATGAGTGGTAGTGTGGTTACTTAACAGGGGCCATGGACAG